ATAATTTCTATGCTCACCCTCTGTGCTTCTTCCTTTAACTTGACCATTGGCCGGAAAAGAAAAAAAAAAAAAAATAATTTCCTTGCTCGCCACGTGGTTTGTGTTTCCGATTACTGTATCGTAATCTGCCGACGGCTCACACGTTCCCTTTCGTATAATTACTTATCCGATCCTCGTCGCCACTTGTTGTAACTGTGTGGGTTTTTCTGAGGCTTGTAATAACTGTAAGACCTTGTAATATATAAACTGTGTATTTCCTCAGTGAGGGTAAGGTAAGAAGTGATCCGCACGTTAAGGAACAAGTGTGCTCCTTCCGACGGTGCTACATGACGCGCCGCCTAGTAGCGTTAATGATCGCTGCGGCTTCTCAATTACACATATCTATATAGTAGACTAATCCGCGAGCATTACGAATCTCCACAACATATTTGAATATCGTTTTTGAATGCCACTTATAAATTGCAAATTTAATTTAACTATGTAATACGAGTTTGTAATTCTATTTATAACAACTATAATTAAACTATTTATTAAACTGAAAGAGATGATAATAGGTCAGGGCTTAATAGAGACTAAATGAAATGGATAATTATAAACATTGTAATATATACAGGGTGTCCCATTTAACTTGAGACAACTAAATATTTCGAAAAATAAACATTGTATGAAAAAATGTCCCAAATAAACTTTTAATATTATCAAGGGGGACGTCTGCCTGTGTAAAAATTAACCCGCCGCCACCGCCCCTTGGGGGTGGGGCGGGTGGCAACTTTGAAATTTCAAATGGGAACCCCCATTTTTTATTGCAGATTCGAATTCCTTGGAAAAAAATACGTAAGTTTTGTCCGAGACATTTTTTCGAATCGTGATAGATGGCGCTGTAATCAGTGAAAATTAGTTTTTTGCCATTTTTTCTCACCATCGGGGTGCTTTATTTCGGTGAGTTCCCTCGCCTCTCACTGTTCAATTACAATAAATGCTCGAAATGATGACTCATTTCGATGCATTTATTAACTCGAGCTTGGAATGCTTGTACACATGTAGAAAGTGTATCTGGCGTTATTTGTGCGCAAGCATATCTAATACGTTCCACCATGTTTTCTCGAGTATTTGGTACTTTTGTATACACTTTTTCTTTAAGGTAAC